CCCAAATGTCAGTGGCTGAGAGGTCTCAGATCTCCTCCCATCTCACTGAGAGAACAAGAGACTGAAGCTCAAAGGGAAAGGACTGATCACTGGTCAGTTAACCCAGACCCCAGGCTCCTGCCTCCCAGCCAAGCATTGTTTTCTCTTTGTGGCTGAAATTGTTAAAGGCTGCTTAGACCTTTCTGCTGGAGGAAGATGTAGTTGTATGCTTATTCATTCAGCAAATACTTGACTGTACAGAGCCCATTGATTATTTTTATTTATTTCAGGAATAGGCATTCATAGCTATTCAAGGGCTATGGGATGCTTGTGGACAATGGCTGTCACTTCAGCTTCATGCTGTCCAGATGCCACTTTCCTTTTCAAACTTTGATTTTTGCTCCATGTTTAACTTAAACAACTACAGTGGTAATGTAGGCACATTTTGGAATACTTTTCCTAACCGGGGTTCCTTCCATGGGCAGTGAACTGATGGGACTTTCCTCTTGGGAGGGGAGGTGGCAAACAAGATTGAGGCTTGAATCCCAAAGGCTTCTGCAGTGCTGTCACACTCATTATGATACATAAGACTTTATCCCCCTGTACACAATGGACCCTCAGGCTTTTTCCTTGCCTGGGGAATTGGCTAGTTTGATTTTGCTTGGAGTGGAGGAAGGCAGAAATGAAAGATGAGGAGAAACCATGTTTGGAACTAGCAGTTTCCAAATCCCATTTGGCAGATCATGCTCTTTAAGGGGAGGCTGGCATGGAGGCCACAGACCTGTGTCTAGGACATCACGTTGTCAGTCTTTTGCTTATCTAATCAGATTTGTGTTCTTACCCAATGTTCACTAGGTCATCACATAGCTTCTTCCCCACTCCACAGAGGTTCCTGGTTAAGCCCCTACCTGGGCTGATTCAACATCCAAGCTCAGGCCTAAGGGGAAGGAGCAACCAGCTAGTCTGTTTCTTCAAGTTCCTAAAGTGCAAGTAGTGGTGTCTCCCTCAGGGCCTGGCTGCACGGTCATCAGTGGACTGGGACCAGGACCGTCAGATCTGTGACCACACCCCACTCCCCTAGCTCCAGTTCTGAGGTCCATCTTCCCACCCTCTGCTCCCTCAATAAGACGATTGGCATCTTTGCTGTCCTATCTTCTGCTGTTCTGCGTCTCCTCCACTTTACCTTGCAGAACAGGCAACCTCAAACCAAATACCCATCCTGATGATAAGGGCCTTGGAAAGAGGTATCAGCCAAGCTTTTTTTTTTTTTTTAATATTTATTTTTGAGAGAGACAGAGACAGTGTGTGAGCAGGGGACGGACAAAGAAGTGGGGAGGCAGAATCCGAAGCAGGCTCCAGGCTCTGAGCGGTCGGCACAGAGCCCAATGCAGGGCTCAAACTCACGACCTGTGCGATCATGACCTGAGCTGAAGTTGGTTGCCCAACCGACTAAGCCACCCAGGGACCCCGTATCAGCCAAGTTTTTAGGGAGACACCAAGGAATCTTGTTACATCTGTCTTGGCTTAACCTTCCAGGTCATAGGAGGGATCTGAAGTCCTATCAATCTTACTCATAAGTTACAGCTCTTTCCCCCACATTTATCAAAATGCCCATATCATTTAAGGAGTACCCATAACACCTCATGACTTAGGTACACGCACTTTCTTGTTCTAGCAATCTGTAGCTGTTCCTACGGAAGCTGATGGACGTTTTGTGCTTTGGCAATATCTCAGCCCTAGGCCTGCTCCCCTGAGGCTGCTAGAAGGCTATGCTCTGCAGATGATCCCAGTCACCTACTGGGCAGAAAGCCTGTAATTCCAGGATTGCTGTCATATGTCACCATCATCAAGCAATCCCACTGATTTAGGACCCCTGCTAAGATATCATTCACATTTTTAAAAACAAAACCACCTATACTCATTCATTCTATTCACCCATAGTTCAAGTAAGTCCCACATCAGTCTTGATTGCCCTTCCCCTGGGAAAAGGCAGGTAGGCCAGACTTTGAACTTGCCACAGCTGGGTCCATTCTTCTAGTGGGATGATCCGGAGCAGATAACTGGATGAGAGTCCATCTGTACAAAAGGGGGATCTGGGGCCGCTGTTAGATCACATATGCTGAAGCAACTTCCCAAAGAAGGGAGCTAAGGGCCTTATCCAATTGCCTGCAACATGATAGACTGGTGCTTCTTTCCTAGACAAGTCTGAAAAGGGGTCAACACTATTTCTGAAGACCTCACTATTAGAATTTTATTTTGATTACGGTGACCTCACTGAGCTATTTTGGAATCAAAATGTGGCTAGGTGCCTGGTTTCCCTCAGTGGCTTCACGTGGCTTTCAAAGGGAAGGAGAGGGTGGTGCTTTTGGTAAAATGGGTAACAGCGTCCAAGCCAGTAACATAATCACTCAAAGTCCAAATGAGGGATCAGTAAATACAACGTGCCTGAAAGGCAGGCCTTGAGCACATTCCTCTGGTAGACATTAACTTATTACATCAACCGTGGTTGCAAATATAAACTTTGCCCCCATCTTACCTGGCAACCATAAAAGTGGTGAATTCCAGTCTATAAAAGGAAGTGGGAACTGCCCCCGGATTTCAGGCTCCAAAAGCCTCCCTCTGTCAAGATGTGGCATCTCAAACTCTTTGCGGTACTCATGATCTGCTTGCTGCTGTTGGACCAGGTAAGAAGTGGGTGTACAGGGATCGTGGTGGTGTGGAGGGGTGGGTGTGGCGGGGGGGGGGGGGGGGGGGGGGGGGGGGGGGGTGGATTGTAGGCCAAACTTGAGAACCAGACTCAGCCCTTGAGGAAAAGTCCCTCTGCTCTGAGTCTACAGCATCCTGGCGGTGAGCATTCTCCCAAGGTGTACAGAAAGGGGTCACCTCTTCCACGCCTGAGCTTTACTGGTCTTTGCCCTACAGGTAGATGGCTCCCCCATGCTGGAACCGAGTTCAACAAAGAGAAGGCCACGGAGAATGACTCCATTTTGGAGAGGGGTTTCCCTCAGGCCCATCGGATCCTCTTGCAGAGACGATTCTGAGTGTATCACGAGGCTGTGCAGGTAACTCCAAAAACTTGGGAGAAGGGCAGAGGACAGAAGAGCACACACGCAGATCTAAGAATAAAACTGGGAGAGGCGACTGCCTGGGCTGTAGCCGGGAGCTCCATGGAGAATCCCTCAGGACTTGAGAACCAAGAACAGCTCAACAAAGTTAGCATGAAAGGTGGTGCCTTTCCTTTCTGCAGTCTATCCTGAGGTTAGATAGAGCCAGGAGAGGAAGGAAACACAGAAGACATGTCTCTGGGCACTGCTAAACCTTTGTCTTAAAAACCACCTTTTCTTTTCCTTAAGAAAAAGACGCTGTTCCCTAAGTGTGGCCCAGGAATGACGTACACACCGGGGGAAAAGAGGACAGCATTCACCTACACAATGCTCCATTCTATGGAATATTGATGAACTGCATTTTGGCTGGAGACACTTAAGTGAAGCAGTTTTGTGTTTTTAATATTTAAAGACAGATATATGCTTTAAACTGGTCTCCGTTTCTTCTTAGAATGTTATGTAGATAAGCTTAACTAAACTTGTCAATTTAGAGTTTATTTTTCTATGTATACTATTAAACGTCTCAAACTGAAATTTTCAGTCTCAAATTCAAGTTTTTTGGGGGAAAAAGGATTCATTTTGTATGCTACAGAAAAACCCCAACATTGCCTAGTAACAGACTACTCAATCTGGAAAGGACAGTGAAAGTGAACATGTAAGAAATAAAGAACACAATGGCAGGCTGCAAGAGAAAAGTTTCCTAAGAGCCAGAGGATCAGCCTTGGCAAGTTCACAAGCTGTGGCCCTGGATCCCGGCCCTTTGCTCCAGGTCAGAACTCTTCAGCAAGGCCTCAGACATGGGCAGTGTCAGCACTTACTGCCCGACGATGGGCCCAAGTCTGTCTATGACTGAAAAGGAGGCAGAACTGGAAGAAAAAAATCTAGTTTAATAAAACAATAAAACCCAAGCCCCCAAGAACAGCAGAAAAGACTTTTCTGAGTTCTACTGGAGCAGGGTGAACTGTGATCTACGCAAAAGGATGCATGGCCAGCAAGTTCAGAATTTCTGTCATCAGAAAAGGAGAGCCGGACTAGGGGACCAGACTCTTCAAGCAGAGAAGCAGTAGACACTAAGCTACAAAAGAGAAATTACATGAAAAGGCAGAGTAAGAGTTGAAGAAGTTTAAAGAGCACAGTGTTTATAAACTTTAATACAGAAAATCTATTTGATATTTATTAAACTTAGTTTCTCCAGCTATGGTTTGGCATTATACAAAGCATCTTAATGACACAGTAGAGTTAAAAAGATCTTTACAAATTGAAATGTGATACCCTTGTCTCCAAATATTTTAATTGCCATAAATTTGTTTAAAAATACACATTAAACGCATGTTTGACACTCTAAACTTTCTATAATCTCAATACCACAAAATACATATAATATACTATACAGATGTGGAAAAATCTAGTTAGTATATAATACTTTGCTCACCATTAACAGCTTTATTATGTGAAATGCACATACTTAGAAATCCTAGCTTTTGAGCCCCAAAGTACCTCTGAAATTTTAATGTATTGCAACAAATAAAAATCACAGTATATAATTGAAATTTTGGTTGAAAATGTCAGATGCTTAAATATTTTGGATAAAAGAAATGTAAAACAAAGATTTGGATCATGTACAAAACAAAGGCATCCTATCAGACACTAACAGTACCTTTCTGCAAAATCAACAAGGCTTTTTATCAGCGGCATTGCTTCCCCTCCAAAACCCTCCCGAAATATCAAACCGTTATTCACCAAATAATTTTAATGTCAAATAAGATAAAAGGATTCAATAAATATATAAGCATTTCCATCCTCCATATACAAAATTTCTTAAAACCATTCAAAACGGAGGCTAGATAGAAATTTTCATAACCGTGCTAACCAACCTACCTCACATCTGGTCCTCAAAAGTAGTGCCTTTTTAGGCACTGCCATCCGGGCCAGCTCTGTTGGTGAGCCCCGCCCCCCCCCCCAAACCCCAGTACTGTTGAACGCTCATGTCAGTGATTTGCCAGGTGTGTGCATAAAGTTTTAAAAGGGGGACACTTCTTGAACAGTAACAACAAACTCAACAGTATGGATAACCATGGCATTGATTTGAAAGGCAGCATTTCCAAACATATTTTCCAGAGAGGAACATAGCCAGTAGAAAATTCCAGTGGTTGAAAGCTGAAAAGAAACCCCACGTGGAAACAGTAACAGGTCAAAAACTGCATATTACTAGAATTTCTGGGTGGGAGCTTTTTTTCCATGCTCATTTAGGAAGCTTTTTTGTTTGCTTCTTTTTAAGAATGGCAATTTATGCTTAGCTGAGCAATGGTGGCAAGGAGAGGTCAATGCTGACATTCCGAAAGTCAACTTCATTATGTGATGATTACTTTAGGCTGCTATTTTAGGATGCTTAAAGATCTGTAAGACTCGGTTTAGACTTAACTCTAATGCCATATTCTGTAACCAGATTCCATCAAAAAGAAGAGATTTAGATATTCTTCCGTTGCTTTTCTAGAGCAGTGACTTTAATTAACCATACGGTTCAACTGAACAGAATCAGCATCTGCTTTACGTACTACTACTAACTTCCTTCCTGTCACTTGCCAGCCTGGTTCTAGGGTCTCGATGTCTAAACTGAATTTCTCCGTTACGGAGTATGTCAAAGACAAGCTCACAAAAAACATTGGCCTCTTGTCACTACATATTCCAAATAATTTGACACTTATCTCTATTTATTTTACTGAATAGCAACCTTAGATGTGCAATGTTATTTATTATTGGAAAAAAAGTCTGCCTCTCCAACATGTAAATACATGAAAACTGAAATGAAATCTGTGTTCCACATAACTAGGGAATATGAGTTATAGGAGTCTACATGAACATGAAATGCTTTGCTTCTGGATTTACTTAGGTTTAAAAAAAATCATCACAATCTGCCTGAAACAGTCATTCCCATCAGATGTTCCTGGGACCCAGAGGCAAACTCCTATAATTCAAAATACATAATGAGGCCATTTTGTTCAATTAGCAACTGGAAAATTAAAATCCTTCCCACCCTGTAAGAACCCTTATTATACTACAGAAGGGCTCAAATATATTCTCAAAGTTAATTTACTACAAATCATAGTAATTAAGCTTTAACAATCTAAAAGGAATACACATTGCACCCTTGAACATTAATATTCAAGGTGTCAACAAGAAAGTGTCTTAGATCAATTTAATAAATAATGTGGAAATAGTTGCACTAAGCTAAAGTACTAAACACACACATTTTTGACAAACTAATTTCATGTTTTCATACATACATACATATATATAAAGTGTGTATGTGTACATAATTTTAAAATCCAAAGTTGCATACCCTTACGCCTAGGAAGAGTGCACAGTGTACCTCTCCTCTACACAATCAGGCATCACTGACTGGAGCAACCACTGGCTGCTCTGAAACTCCAGAGTGCTGCGAGCCTCCAGAACCAGAACTTTTGTTTAGAACAGGTGCCTTTTGTAGGCTCTTGCTTCACAATGCAAGCTCACTCAGTGAATATAATTTCCCAAAGTTTCTGTCATTAAGTACAAAATGATGCTTGTCTGATCTAGCTGATTAAACCTTTCTTTAAGAAAAAGAAAAAAACAACAATTAAAAACAACAACAACAGTGAATCTAATCAAGCCACAAGTGAATGCAAAGCGCAGCCTAGATGCCTATGGATCCACCAGTGTGAGAGCTACCCGGAGCACAGGCATGTTGTGGGCACGTGCACACATTACACTGCTTTTACGTTGGAGAATTAAATTCGTGATGGTCAAGCTTCTCTACTCTTCAGCAACTATAGCTGAAGATTGATCTGAAGTACTCATTTCTTATAAAGTTAGTTCTTGGCTACTTGCCCAGGAAAAGGTGGCCCTGAGGCAAGAAATGGGCTGAACGCTCCCCAGCCAGACTGGCCCCGGGCTGGACTGTGGAAGCTTGAATCACCTGGAGGGGAGTGTTCCCCACAGCCCAGCCCAGGCTGGGCAAAACTACCATGTGACAACTTCATCCACTGTCCACTGGATGCCTGTGAAAAGTCCAATGGTGTAGGCTGCTGCCTCCTGGCATACAAGTGTGGTCTTAAAGAGCAGTCAATAGAGTTTTTTTAAATAGTTGCTACTTCTATAATTAACTATATATTAAGTACAAGTCTCAGACGAAGTAAGTTTTTAGCCACTTGTCAAATTCAGGTTTAAATGGTTACAGAACAGTGAAGATACCTATTGAGGAAGGAGGAACGGTGGCCTATAAAGGAGTCCAAAGTCTGTGCTGGAGCGGATGAAGACACAGACAACTTTGGAGGAGATGGACACAGAGGGGAGGGAGTGGTGTTTCCACAAACTATTACATCAAAAATTCAATTATTTAGGATACGATTTTGATCCACTGCCCATTACCACCTGGTGGGAAAAATCCCTCCACGATGAAAAGCTTGAAAAATTCATTCTCTAAGAATGAACAGTTTTACAGAGAGAGAATTAACTTAGAGCAGCACCAGAAAACATGCAGGAAACTATATTTTAACCAAGTATCAGTGTGACCCCAGAAACACTCCTGCTGCCTTTCAGGACACACAAGAGATTAGAACACACTGGAATTCAGAGGTACCCAGCTGGCTGCTGTTGCTGAAAAGTATAAACGCTCAGAGGACACTTAATCCCTTTCTAAGACATCACTGCAAATTAAGGAATCAGAGTAAGAGCAATCAGAGAAGGACAGGACATACAACTACTTGATTAACAGGGGTGAGTTTCTCAATAACTACCCTAGATCACTGAGAAGTCATCCTCTTAAGGAAAACTGTTCCTAAAACATACTAAGATGAAGTCAGAAAGATTTCAGAGGCAACTTCTCTAAGGGAAAAAAGTTAAATTCAACCAAATTTCTAGATTCTGATCTTCAGCGACATGCAAAAACAACCCGAGGTACAAAACAGTTAAAACGCTCTATAAATTTGAACCACAGGACAATGAGGGTTCACTAGCTTCAGAAATGAGTGTAAAAAAAGACTCAAACACAGAGGACTCACTGCACCACTGGGCTTGGGAGATTTTCTATCCCGTCTTTCGCACTTCAAACCTTAGCAATCATCTGTAAATAGCAGGGCAATCCTTTTTTCTGATTGGATGGATTCATTTTTGGAATGGGGAAAAGGATAAACTATTTTTTGAAGCAGCATTACCCAACAGGTTAGACTAAGTCATGTACCAAAGCATTAGCTTTTCTGAAATAATTAATCTTTATGTGACCCTAAAGGAAGATTAAAAAGTAAAGAGAATTTAACATTATTACTGCTGAAGACCAACCACATGGGTGATCTGGTCCTAGTGTAAAACTTCATCTGTAAACAATCCATAAAGGTTTCATTCAAAGGTAAGATTTAAGGCACACCAGACATGATAGGGGCACGAAAGGGGCGTGACAGACGGTACGTTTCTCGCTTTTAACGCCTATATGCACCTTACAGGGAAGGTACTCTGATACACAACTCTTACAGAGCTGGCTTCTTAAGCTCTACCCCTGCTCCCTTCCCCTTCCCAAGAGAGCTAACATTGAACTAAATTAGATACTTTTCTAGTGTGAATTTTCTGATCCCATCGGAAACACAAATCATTGGTGAGGGGGCCCTCATAATACAAAGGCAGTCAATACAAGACAAGTCTAAAAGGAGAACGTCATCTCTACCTCAGGCATTATAAACTGTAAGTTGTACAGCAAAAGCACACACAGCAAAGCTCCAGCCCATTCCTGCATTAGTCACTGCATGCTCCCATGAGAGCATCACAATCTAGTGTGGCAAAAACATTTTACAAATAAGAATTCTGAAGAGAGATTTAACCCTTCAAACACCATCACCGAAAGAGATACAGGCAACATCCCCGGGAGCTGGATCATTGTTTGTCCCTCAGTAACTTAACTCTGTTTCAAAACCGTCAAGTTATTAGCAACAAAAAAGAACACATGGTTTTAGCAAAATCCATGAAGTTCAAGATTGTCCTTTTATGAAACCCTTCACACGACATCCGTCTTCTAGAAAGTTTACCTGCCCTCTTTTGTAATGCATTAAATGCAAGCTATAGTCACCTTGTGATTGCTATAGTGTTATTAACACACATTCACAGTTCCGGAAGTAATGCATACAGAATCAGACACATTTCATCTTCTCTCTGGAGAATGTCATCTTCTCATATTTAAATGATTTTCATGTGTAGAAGAATATCCTTAATACTAAGTATAAATTCTGCAAGAAAATTGTAGTTACGATTTAAAATAATATCAGGTAGTAGGTACAGAAAGAACACGTCCACGTTTTAGATGAACCAACTCTTACTCTTAGAAGAGCTACCACAAAAAGACATTAGGTAACAAAGCTCCCAAAAGTATATAAATAAAAATGCCTACATTAAACTTAGGCTAAATTTTCAACAGAGTAAATTCATAAGCAGAAATAATTAAGTTTTAAACTGCCCCAATCTGGGAACTTAAAAAAAATTAAAATAAATAGGATTTCAATTGATTAGTTATGAATTGCAGCTGGAATTTCAATCTTATTACAGATCACCAAAACCGTCTTAGCAATGTGCTGCAGATTTAAAAACATTTAAATAATTTTCCATATTGGGAATATTAAAGGGGTCAACTGACATCATGGCTTTGGGTTATAAATAACAACAACACATGAACCAGGGAGGAAAAAACCATTCCTCATTCTTAGTGTCGACTAGGTGGCATGTTATGGCAGTTTTCCTTCGTGATGTGACACAGTGTTGTGGAGAAAATCAGAGGCAACGAGAATGTGTTCAGTTCAAGATATCAACTTGGCATCCTGGCGAAGCCAGTGCAGTCCCTGCCGGGTATATCGAACCAGGTCTGTCATGATGCTTGCATTAAAGATGAGAGGGCCCATCACTTTATCCAGTTCAGCAAAGAATTCTAGAAAACCAAAAAGAGTCATTAAATGATATACATGCTCTCCCCAATCACTGCTTTAAAAGTTTGGTCTAGACTGTAAAACAGTATTCATAGGAAGTCAAAAAAAAGATTCCCGCCTGCATTAAAATGATGACCATCCACGTTTTAGAACAAACCATCCATCCCATAGTCTCTGTCTTTCAAGCTACATTATTTTCTCTAAGTCATGAAACGTTTCCAACAGACTGTATGGTTAGGCATTAAGTGTTATACATAAAAGCAGAATTCCACTAATGGAAATTATCAATTGCTAGTATGCAGTATACACTACTAAAATGGGGACCTAGTGCTACGATGTACTCAAAACAGTCTCTGTTTACCGTTTTTGTGTAACAAGCAAGTGGTACAAAAAAGGATGATGTTCTGTGCATGTTTCCCCGTAACAGCTCCTGTGAGGTTAGATATTTATGACAGCCTGTATCCAAACTTTCTGCTGCAATCATATACCATGCAACAGTGATAAACTAAATCCCATGTTTCAGACAGTATAGTTTAAAAATGTAAGGGATGGAAATGAAAGGATTCTTCCTATGTGAACAAATACACGTTGATGTGGATGTGAGGTGGGTGCAGAGGAGGATGGAACGAAAGTGTCCTAACATCTGATCCCGATGCAATTTTGGGAGAAGACAGAGAAGGATGCAGGACTCAGATGGTAAAGAGTTTTTATATGTGCAGAGAAAATGGGGTCATTCTCATGAAGAAGACCTGGCCCTACTCAACACAAGACACAATCAAACAGTGAGGAAAAAAGGGTCTCCTTTATAGAATGCCACCTAAAAAATGCAGAAGGAATATCAGAAGACAGATTCCTATTTCCTAATGGAATAATGGATATAGATAATAACCATCAATGGATGTTAAAACAGAAGTTAAAGTTTGAGGGGCGCCTGGGTGGCTCAGTCGGTTAAGCATCCAACGTCAGCTCAAGTCATGATCTCATGGTTCGTGAGTTTGAGCCCCGTGCTGGGCTCTGTGCTGAAAGCTGAGAGCCTGGAGCCTACTTCGGTTTCTGTGTCTCCCTTTCTCTTTGCCCTTCTCCCGCTCACACTCTGTCTCTCTCTCAAAAATGAACAAACATTAAAGCAAATTAAAAAAAAAAAAAGTTAAAGTTTAACAGGGAATCTTACATCAAACTGAGGCTAAAACCACCTGATTTCAATCAATGGTCAAATCCTAATATCACTAAACAAGAGATAACCATTAATTACATGCCTCATAATATGCTGTAATATGCTATAATAGGAAATCAAGAGCACCACCTATGAAGTATTATCTAAAATAATGAACTTGAATCTAATCAAGTCTCAAGATGTAACTAATCAGTATGAAGGAAATATGGGGGACAGAGGAGCAAGCTAAATGATACCATGAGGAAGGAATCAGTCAAATCCAGAATATGTGTCATTTTGTCTTCAACATAAATGGCACAGTGCCCCACCTCCAAAAACACCAAAAAATAGAGGAGGGAGACTGATCAATGGATGTGTGGACTCTGTTGGAAACAAACGGAGCTGTCTTTAAAAAAAAAAAAACCAAAACCCGCATATTTGCCACAAAAGGGAAACTGGATGGTAGACTAGGTATTAGGTGACAGAAAGGAAGTACTATTAATTTTGGTGACTGTGTTAAAGTGATCACAGTGATCATGTTTTTGAAAAGTCCTTATCACTCAAGGATGCATATACCAAAGTATGTTGGGGTGAAATGTTATAATATCTGTTGTTTGCTTTAAAATACTCCAGGGGCAAAGAAAAGCAGGAGTCAGAAAGAGATGGAGTAAGATTAGCAAAATACTGTATTGGTAAAGCTGAAGTTGAGTGCGAGGTGCACAGGGGTTCATTATATCATCCTCTTTCCTTTAGTCAATATTTGAAAAGTACCAAGCAAAAAAGTAAAAATGAAAGAAGAGGATTTAAAAAAGGAAAAATGAAGCTGGAAAACTGTTATCAAAGAGAAAAAATGTAAAGTAAAGCAGGAGTGACTTAATAAGAATTTTGGCTTTGTAACCTTTCCTGAGCAACACTGACAGTATTTAAAATTTTAAGAAAAAATTGGATTTTAAGAAACACAACTTCATGTTTGATGCTGGGGTTCCTCTTCTACCTTTCTCTTCCCATTATCCCTCTTTAGGGATAGGAATCGTTCATCTTCATCTGATTACCTGTTTATATAATAAATATTTAAATGCACTGTGACAGAAAGACACTTGACTGACTGATGGGAGTGTTGGTCTACAAAGGATCTACCTGAATAGTTGCCACACTTGCCATATTTGCTAATAAAAGCTGTGAAAATATTATGGTGTTTATATAGTACTTTTCCCTAGTATTTTATTATTATTTCTTAAATTTAAAATCCAGTATAGTGGGGCGCCTGGGTGGCGCAGTCGGTTAAGCGTCCGACTTCAGCCAGGTCACGATCTCGCGGTCCGCAAGTTCGAGCCCCGCGTCGGGCTCTGGGCTGATGGCTCAGAGCCTGGAGCCTGTTTCGGATTCTGTGTCTCCCTCTCTCTCTGCCCCTCCCCCGTTCATGCTTGGTCTCTCTCTGTCCCAAAAAAATAAATAAACGTTGGAAAAAAAAAATTTTTTTTTTAAATCCAGTAGAGTTAACATACACTGTTATATTAATTTCAGGGTACAATATGGTGATTCTTCCCTAGGACCTTTAAATATGTTATATTTCTCAATGTTCTTAGTTTGGGACTTAACAAACATAAGGTACAAAGTCTCAAATAACCTAAAACTGAATAATGCTAGAAAATAATTTATTTTATAGTCTCTTTTACCATGTAAGTTTTTCAGTAGACCTAAAAATCCAGTATGAATGTGTTTTTTTTTTAAAGTTTTATTTATTTTTCTTTTAGTAATTTCTACACTCAACACAGGGCTCAAACTCATGACCCTGAAGACCAAGAATCGCATGCTCCTGTGACTGGGCCAGCCAGGAGCTGCCAAATGTGCTTTCTTACATATTAACTATCTCCTGTGTACAAAATGTCTGCATGTAATCTTACGCCTAAGTCAAACTTACTGTCACCCATCCTAACAGCATATATTTTTATTACTTTTATAACTGGCGCTGTCCTTAATGCGCCAAAACAAAGGCCTATTTGTCTTAGACCAAAAACTGTTTTTAGTTTAGTCTGTGTCACCAGTACAGTGAAAGGTATTTTTTCACCAAATTCAGTACATTCAGTATGACTGGTAAGCAATGGTCATTATCATCAACTCTCGATTGCATAATAAACTAAATGCGGATCAGACACTTATTTAACTGGATCATAAAAGCTCTTTTTGACAATTTCAACCTTCAAAGTCTCTCCATTGACCTTCCTACCTTTTTGCTCTTTGGAAAGCTGCTCGGCTTGGTCCCAAATTTCGGTGGCATAGAGGAAGTTGGACGTAACCTGAACATAGCTGGCTGCCATCTGGTGGATCCTCTGTGGAATGGTCACCGAAGAACCACTTGCTGAAGCACTACTGGCCCCAGAAGAATAATTTCCTGAATTGCCTGGCGACAGCTTTGGAGATACAGGGGAAGGCATCCCAACAGCTTTGCTACACACAGAGAAACAGGAAACTTATTCGTATGAATATGGTGAATGTGATGAAACCAATGTTCTACTGGCTCTTCTTCCATGAAAGCTTTTAAAATTTAAAGATTCTTTTAAACTAGAAGAGTTCCCAGAGAAGTACAATTCCTTCTAAGTAAGTACTTAGCTCACTAAAGCCCATGGTGAATCATCCTATCTAGACTCTTTGTTTTAATAAATGTAATAAATAATAAGTCCCACCTTTTGACGGAAAAGAAGGGAGGAGTTCACACACCTTGTCAGTAGCACTTCAAAGACTTAGAAGTTAGATCACCTCACTCCCAGCTCAACACACTTTCCATCTATTCTGGCACGTAATAGGTACTTTTCTAGTTGTTTTATAGAAAGTTGGGTGGAATTTGCAATTTAACACAAGAAAATTGTGGTAGTAGATACGAACATCTTATTTTGAACTCCATTTCAGGTATTTTCCAAGTTTAAACAAGTTATTCAAAGCTGACAAAGAGGTACAGATTTCTCAACCAACTGCAATTATTTCAAGCTTCCTGTCAATTAAATCTTTCTCAGGAAACACATGTTGAACTCTGACAGGTACATTTCAGCAGTACTAAAATTTGTGGAAATGCCAAAGACCGTTTAAAAAAAAAAGGAAAATCAAACAAAAGTTGGGGGGGGGAAGCTATTTGTTAAGAATATTTTTATCTTCACTTTTAGCACTAGAAATTTGATTAAGAAAATACACAAGGGCAAAGACAGAAAGTCAGTTAAGATAAAAATAATAACTAAGTAAACTTACACACAAAAAAAGCTTTCATGGCAATTTGCCTCCTTTTGGTGGGGGTGACACAGGAAGGCAGGAAAAGCCACAATAATCCCATCGTGATAAAAACCCAAGTAGGTGTGGAAATCAAACTATGAGAAGGACTGAGGTGTTATTAAAAAAACTCAAGATTTCTCCAGGTGAAATATCCTCTTCTCTACTCTTTCTAAGATTATGCTCATTATCATATTTTCAACTTAGTAAAAATAAACAGAAAAATGAAAACTTTAAAAAATACTTTATTAGAAATAGTTGTAATTTTTAAAGAATTGTCATCTTTCCATTTTTGGAAATTAGACCTTACCACCCATTCCACTTTTACAAACAAAAATAAATAATTGTGTCACAAAAAATACTTTATAGAATAAAATTTACCTACCTTCCCAAGCCAGGTGATGGTGCTTGAGAATTATTGTAAGAATTCTGTGGAAAAAATAAAATGTATTTAATTAAAAAAAAAAAACACACACACACACAACTTCTGAAGTACTACAGATATTCAAAAGCACTGGGCTAGAACTGACCTTAAGAATCTTTACAAATTTAAGAACCTAAAATGTAAGAGCAAGAGAGAGAATGTATGTGTGTGTAAATGTGCAACAGAAAGACAATACTTAGGTGAGAGCTGGGGGTTCTGAAAGACTTACAGAGAATACTCAGAGAAGAGGGGTAGTCATACTATATGCAAAGGCTGCATGAAAGTGAATGGATGTAGCCTACAGTTTCTCTGGAGCAGAGGTTTAGATAAGGAATGAGAAAGAGACCTCGATGACTTTGAGGTCAGGGTAAGAAGCTTGGACCTGACCTTGAAAGCAACAGTAAGCTACTGAAGGGTTCCAACTCAGAACCAGGGCAGGATTTTAAGAAGATTTATGTGGTGCTGGCAGGAAAAAACATAGACAGTTTAGGAAACAAATGTAACAGTGTAAGGAAGGGTGGCAGTAAAACAGAATACCATTTGCAATGTATAAACTAGGTTTCATTATAAAAAGAGGCTACATCCCCTGAACTATTAGTAAGTGCTATTGCATATGGCTACATAGGTTCTACAATCAGATATATATAGATTTAAAAACTTTTTAAGAAATCTCAAACCTATTTGAAAGTTCACCGACAGTAAGTAGCTCTACCCTTGCTGTGGCAGGCAAGACATGAAGGCACTTTTGGGGTTGGGATAGGAGACTTTACAAATTTTGTGTCCTAGAACATGGACCATCCTCTTTTTCACACTTACCTTCAGGTGCTCTGTCAGTGTCTTTGAGTACTTCAGAGCATTTTCCTTCTTCAGTTTGAACAGCCTCAGGTACAGCAAAGACTGGCATCGCAGGCTGGCCAATGGAAAAGGGTAGCTTATTTACCAGCACAGCAGACTCTGGCTATATCTGCACAGACAACTTTTGTATCGTGCAAGAGCGCAGGACTGGCTAATGTGAACAGACCATGGCATAAGTGTCAACGACACTAACCCTGAGGCAAAACTGGAAGATGCGCTCTTTATGGTACACACCTCAAGGAGGGGAAGAGACTGAGGACTAGTCTCCTGTTTGCTGACATTCAAAAATCAAAACCTCACCCATAAGACACCAACATGTCATTGCAACACACGCATTAAAAAAAATCACTGAGGAGCAGAATCTCTAGATCAAATTATAAATATCTCATACTAAACAACAAAAACCAGGGGACTCCAGTATGCATAGTACAACTCTGCTGCAATGCAGGTAAGCCTTACTATGGCTGACCAAAGCCCTGCACGGTCACCAATGCCTACCGCTCTAGTCACTTTCACTTCTCACTGGTCTTTTTAGTTCCTTGATAGTTTCCTGTTTCCTTCCACCACACACCTCTTGCACATGTCCCCTCTACCTGAAGATAACGTGTCCCTACACCCTATTCTCTTATATATACTTTTCTTTCCAAGTACTGAATTCATATACTTGTGTGATTATTTAATTTCTGTCTCCTGACACTAGACACCAGACTCCATGACAAAGAAGACTGTGCCACTTTATCCACACTACATTCCTAGCTATTAAGCCCAGTGCCAGGTAAAGTAAATGCTTTTAACAAACAAATTGGTAATATCTCCCTGGGAGCAAGCCAACAAGCCACATTCTTTATTCTGAGCAAGCTAAACATTTGCTCCCTAAGGAAAGGTATAGGATATGTTGAGTAACAAGAGAGGATACCAAAAGAAGCACCTGGAAAAGGGACGATGTGAGACAAGGAGAGTTCTACTCTACCAAGGATTTGCCAGGAGGGCAATGGATCAGAGACTGACAACAAGTTAAATCTTTCCGTAGGGATTTTGAGTTATTTTCTACTTTACCCATTGAGATTTATGAGTGGGTTACAAAAGGTCGATTCAAGGATAACTTTCCGAAGGGCATAACAGCATAATTTGCTCTGGAACCGCCTGTCACCTAGCAGAGGCTGGAACCCAACACCTACCAAAGTACTGTGAGCCTTTTATCTGCAGCTGTAGCATCAGGTGCCAAGTAATTCTTTAGCTTCATAGTGTACCTGTGAGTTAAAACAACAAACAGATGACACAAAACATAATATTCCCCTTTATCTAATGACTTCCTTGGTCCTCAGAACATTAGAACCCAACTTCAATAAAGGCAAAAATACCCCCTGAAGTATCTAATTCTCTGTATCCAAGAACAATAAAGGATTAAGCATCCTCTTTAGCTTTACTGTATACAGCTACATCAGCCCCTTCCAAGATGAACCAAAGAAATACTATTGCCAATGATGTGGCAGCAAATTTTCCCACTTACTTGATGAGCTCCACTGTCTCTGAATACATAGGGAATGGGGATTTGGATTCCTGAGCATTTTTCTCTAATGCATTCCCACATTCAATGAAAGATACCACAGCATCAAGATAGTATACAGCTTTCTCAAACCTATCAGACTGAAGAAAGGAGAATAAAGGTAATGAGAAATACACTGATGCACTATGAGAGCAAACCACAAATGAAGATTTAAGTTAATTTGATTAACTTAAATAAATGTGAGAATGTTTACATACCAATGCATCTGCATTGTGCTTCAGCTTTTTTGCTTCTTGTAAATAATGGTCTGCTGAATAATTTCTGCAATGTAAATTTTTATAGTAAATGAAACAGTAAATATTTTTGTAAGATAATACTTTCCATTTTAGTCTCTAGCATCCCTCAGTTTTCATGTCCCCAAGTAAAGAACATGACCTACTACTAAACATCCAATTCAGGTTTTTCTGACAAATGCTTTTCTTGGGTTAGGAGCATGAATCGTTTCGGCCAACTCATAGCAGATTTTCTACTTAGGGAAACAGAAATCAAGCTCCCTAGTATTAGATACTAATTTACCCAAGTTGTTTGAAAGATTCAGAATGAACAGATGCCTTTCGAATCAAAATCTAAATGTTCTGTGGAACATTACAACACAAGTATGAATTCTTCTGGTCACTGATAGGATTTTAAACAAGTTTCTTACACGCTGACTGGAATGATTTCTCCAAAGCATAAGAAACATTTATCTCACCTGTCGTCAAAGGCAAGCTTCGTTCTCCGAGGCTTAGAGGCATCAGGAGTTGGTGTAGAGGAAGGACAGTTAGAAGAGCTATTTGGAGCCTTTTCCTAACCAAAAAAAAATATATAATGTTGAAAAAATACGTATGTTGAAAATTCTGAGGTGATTAAAGTTAAACTGGAAGTATTTCTTGAGCCACTAGTAAAAAGTACAAAAAATTCCACTGCTGTCAGTAATTAATTTCTTTGTTATAATCATTTACAATTTCACAATGTAAAAGCCCTTTTTAACAGAATGGGTCCACTTTATATAAACAAAAACATTCATTCTAATAGCAAAGTCTACTATTACCAGGCAATGACTGAACTAGACACTTGTTGAAACATAAGGAAGACAAAAACCTACTATCAAAATAGTAGTAGTGCTTAAGACAAAATTTACTGATAATTACTGGTCACTGAAAACAGCAATAATATCATCTAACATTTACTATGTGCTTACTACTTACCAGGCACTAAGTACTTAGGCCAGTCATTAAGATTTCAACAACCTTATGGAATGTGTATTGCTACTGGGACAGAATAAAAAGCAGTGTCAAGGAGGGTAACTCACCCAAGTTCAAACAGCTTTTAAGTGGCATTCCCGGAATCCATATCTGTCACATTTTATTTTATTTATTTTTCAGAGTCTTTTTTTATGTTTATTTTAGTTATATTTTGAGAGAGAGGGAGAAGGAGAGACAGAGTGGTGTGCGTGAGCAGGGGAGGGGCAGAGAGAGGGGGAGACAGAGAATCCCAAGCAGGATCTCTGTATTGTCAGTGCAGAGCCCACGCAGGGCTCGAACTCAAGACCCTGAGATCATGAACTGAGCCGAAATCAAGAGTAAGATGCTTAAATGACTGAGCCACCAGGCGCCCCTGAAGCAGTCCCATTTTACAAGTCTAGGCTTCTTAACTTTATTCTACCCTCTATCAATATAGCCCTTTATGCGGGGCCTTTGATCCTGTCTTCCCAACTACTTCCCTATACACATTTTTCCATAATAAAACATAATAAGTCAATAAGTAGATAGATAAGTAGATAAACAAGTAGAATTTATCCTACAAATGGATGAATGTTCCAACATGAGTAAACCCAATTAATATATAATTTTACCGCTTGTGCTTAAAAATCTACTGAAAATGAACCATGTAACCTAACCATTTCTTTTTTCTTAAATGATAATAGCTTTTCAGTTCTACCCAATACAGCATGCACCTCAAAGAATTAAAATAATCATTATGGTGATGATGATATATGATGATGTATCTCAACTCAAAAAAACCTGGCAGAACTAGAAGAAATAAACAAATCTTGTAAGTTTGTGGAAAAAGGAACAAGAGGACAAAATGACCAAAATATCAACATAAAGAAGGTCTGAAAACAGGATTAATCAATGTGAATTACACAGATTCCTTGTCCACAATATATGCAGAATAGACATTCTTTTCTAGTAAATACAGAACAGTACAAAAATCTACCATATACTATACTCTCATAAAGCAAATCTTTTTTTTTTAATGTTTACATTTTTGAAAGAGAGAGAGCAAGTGCACAAGTAGGACAGGGGCAGAGAGAGAGGGAGAGAGATCTGAGGCAGGCTCCACCCTAACAGCAGAGAGCCTGAAACAGGGCTCAAACTCACGAACTTTGAGATCATGAATTAAGCTGAAGTCAGACGTTTAGCCAACTGAGCCCCCCGGGCATCCCTCTCATAAAGCAGATCTTAACAAATTTCAAAAGACTGCTACCATGCAGACAATTTTCCAGCCCCAATGCAATTAATGTAGCAACACTAACCAGATGATAACCAGCAAATCTCCATATGTTTGGACATTGATTAATCCACTTTTATTTTTTTTTATTTTTAAAAAAATTTTTTTAACGTTTATTTATTTTTGAGACAGAGAGAGACAGAGCATGAACAGGGGAGGGTCAGAGAGAGAGGGAGACACAGAATCTGAAGCTGGCTCCAGGCTCTGAGCTGTCAGCACAGAGCCCGACGCGGGGCTCGAACTCACGGACCGCGAGATCATGACCTGAGCAGAGGTCGGCCGCTCAACCGACTGAGCCACCCAGGCGCCCCGGTTAATCCACTTTTAAAGAACTCTAGTGTCAAAGATGAAATCACACTGGAAATTAGAAAAAATTTTAAACTGAGTTATAAAATCATTCCATATCTTCTAGGATGCACATATACAGTAGTTAAAGGAAAATATATAGCTTAACTGCTTATGTTAGAGAAAGAAAAAAGGCTTAAACTTAATTTAAAAATTAATGAGCTAAGTTTCCATCTTTAAAAGTCAGTGAACAGAGGGGCACCTGAGTGGCTCAGTTGGTTAAGCGTCTGACTTTGGCTCAGGTCATGATCTCGCAGTCCGTGAGTTCAAGCCCCATGTCAGGCTCTGTGCTGACAGCTCAGAGCCTGGAGCCTGCTTCAGATTCTGTGTCTCCCTCTCTCTCTGCCCCTCCCCCACACACTACTCTGTCTGTGTGTGTCTTTCTCTCTCAAAAATAAATATTAAAAAAAAAAAAAAGTAAACAGAGGGAGCCTGGGTAGCTCAGTCAATAAAGCATCTAACTCTTGGTTTCGGCTCAGGTCTTGATCTCGCGGTTTATGAGTTCGAGCCCAGCATTGGGCTCCGAGCTGACAGGGGGAGGGAGGAGGGCCTGCTTGGGATTCTCTCTTTTCCTCTCTCTCTGCTCCTCTGCTTGTGCTCTCTCTCTCAAAATAAATAAACTTAAAAAAAAAAAAAAACCTCAGTAAACAGAACAGCAAAACAAAAAGAAAGGAAATTATAGACTAAAAATTAACAAAATAGAAATAAAAAGTAAACCACAGAGAATCAAGAAAAACAAAGGCTCTTTTTTGAAAAGACAAGTAAAACTAATAAGCCTCTGATGACACTAATCAAGGGGAAAAAAAAAAAGAAATGGCATAGAGAACTAATATCAAGAACAAAAGAGAAATATAAGAGATGTTACAAATACCAAAAGCATAAGAGATTGTAATCAACAACTTTATGCCAACATATTCCAAATATTTGGTAACAGGAGCAAATATGTAGAAACACAAAAATTATATGTAATTTTGTTTTTCCATATTATCTATTCTTAAAGTGATAAGAAAAAGTACATTTTCTAACTAAATTACAGATTCTTTTATTAAAAAATTTTTTTTTAATATTTATTTATTTTTGAGATTGAAAGAGAGCACAGACAGAGGAAGGGCATAGAGAGAGGGAGACACAGAATCCAAAGCAGGCTCCAGGCTATGAGTTGTCAGCACAGAGCCCGATGCGGGGCTTGAACCCACGAACCATGAGATCATCACCTGAGCTGAAGTCAGAAGCTTAACTGAGTGAGTCCTCCAGATGTGCCTATAGAGTGTTCTTTAATAAACCCATATAAAATTTCCTAAATTGGAAATTGCCAAGACTAACATTAACAATTTTAATAACTGTTAAAAATGCCCTAAGGTGTTGGAATCAAAGTGGTCAGGGCCTATATTTTATATTTTGTCACCAACAACAGAATACCAAATAACTACACTTGATCCAACAAATATTTCCTGATTACCCAGTAAGTTAAACAATGGAGAAAACACAAAATAAGATACAAATCCCTGCTTTCAAGGACCTGACAAACCAACAAGGAAGACATAAGAGTTTTTACCTATGAGATCACAAAAGCCATATGAGTGGGTGAGCTCACTTAAAGAGTACATTTAAAAAGAGAGAGGTAAGAGGTTTCAAGAAATAAGCATACAGACCTCAAATCCTACAGCTAAAGGATGGAAAATAGAAAAAGAGCCAGTCAGCAAGTTGACACAGAAGTGGGACGGTGAAGGAGGTCAAGAGGACAGTCAGGTCCCTTAAGGACACTAGGACTTCTACTCTAAACCATTACAGAAGGGTGTCCAACTGCGGAAAAAGCCTTCTGTATATCTCAATTTCAGATGTTGTTCACAATTAAAATTACCTCAATTTCAAAGACTTAACTACTACATTTAATAAGCACGAGTAACTACTTTTAATGCAATTTTTTCAACTCTCAAACCTTTGCCTACTCAAGTCACAAACAACAATCCAGTGAACTATATTCTTAAAAATCTATGTATTTGGGGCACCTGGATGGCTTAGTCGGTTGAGCATCCTACTTCAGCTCAGGTCATGATCTCGCAGTTCGTGAGTTCGAGCCCTGCATTGGGCTCTGTGCTGATAGCTCAGAGCCTGGAGTCTGCTTTGGATTCTGTGTCTTCCACTCTCTCTGCCCCTCCCCTGCTCACACTCTGTTTCTCTCTCTCTCAAGAATAAATAAACATTAAGAAAAAAAATCAAGGTATTTTCTTAATTTTGTCAGAGTTTGCTCCCAATCAAAACAGTTCAGAAAGTAATGCAAATAACCTCGTAAAAAAACTGAGGGTAAGATTCTGATAAGGTATAGCCTTGAGAAATCTTCTATGATCCAATTCTCCATCCATGAACATTAAGAATATTCCCCTATTGGGCACCTGGGTGGCTCAGTCGGTTAAGCATCTGACTCTGCTCAGGTCAAGATCTCATGGTTCGTGGGTCTGGGCCCCCACTGTCAGTGCAGAGCCTCTTTGGGATTCTCCCTCTGCACCTCCCCCACTTGCACTTAGTCTCTCTCTCTCTCTCAAAATAAACTAAAAAAAAAAAAAAAAAAAAAAGCCCTATGTTATGATCATGCTCTAGGAATAGTTCCAATGCTAATTTACCTAAAGAATTTCCTTCATGAATCAAAGCCAAATTAGTTGCCTTATCACTTTATGTAATATAACTTGCTTGTAAAATCTAATTCTAAAAAATCTAAAGCCAATTACAAACTATACACAATCGATCATAGCAAATGGAGTGATTTATAATTAGATCATAATCAGCTACTTTCTTCCAAAACCAACTTTTCCAATTAAGCGTTTGTCTTAATTAATATGCATGTTGGCAGGTGACTTATTGCTTTCATGGTCTGAGATCACTGCATACGTTCATTATCAAGATTATGACATTTTGAGATGAAAATACATAGGCCTACAAGTTTAAGGAGAGGTTTACAAGATTTTCAAAGTACAATGTCACCTTGGAGAATTCCTATGGCAATGGGATTGGTTTTCAAAAGGCTCAGGCCTCTAGTGACTTACCTTGACCTCCTTAGAGCTACTGGAAGTCTTCCCTTCAGTCTTCTTCTGCTTTGATGTGGAGGAACTGTTTTTGCTGCTGCCACTATTCTCCTTGTTGCTGTTATTACTTGACTTTAAAGAAGATGACTGACTAATAGTCCTCTTCCGAGAGCCATGCTCTGTTTTTGGATCTTTTGAAGGAACGGGTCCAGCAGGAGAAGGCAACAAATCCTTTTCTTTTGCAGCACTTTGCTTAGTTGACCTGCCAAACCAAACAAATGCCCTTAATTCTCCACAGTCATGTAGCTATGATGGATTTTTTTCTATTTCTCTCTGTCTGCTTTCAAGACAAATTTATTTTTCCCTGAGTTAATTAAAACACATGATTTCTATAAAACAAAATAAAAGTGTACATTTCATGAGGACAGGCCATCTCATGTGTTTTCCACCCTCTGGTTGTACACCCAGTGCTTAAATCTTGGCCTGCCACACAGCAAGTATTCAATAAATACTGATTACATAAATGAGAAGATGAACGATGAAGATATTAGTAAGTTCCTAAGTTAGAAATTGGTCTCTTGCAAGTTACAGTTAAGCTTGTCATTTAGCCAGAAAGTGGTAACACTTTAGTTTATTTCTTAGCCTATATTCAACCCTACTCCACTAAAGAAAGAAGAACAGACTGAATCTTAAAAACTTTCTGACCCAATTAGCTAAAAATAAAATCTCCCACTAGCTGGTATATGTATACATACGCACAGATAGGACATATACTTACTAAAAGGAACATTCTAAGAGCACATCAGGAAGTACACAACAGCAAATGACATACACATATTAACACACATGTAACATGTTTGGGGGACATACTCTCTGTTGCTGGATGGCTTGTGACCTGCTGAATTCTTGTCCTCTGTTTTGGGTTTCTTGCTGTCATTGGCTCGGTTATCATCTTCATTCTGGATGAAAAATAGGAAAAAAGCAACTACTACATTTGATTTTTATTCACCTAATTTCAGTTTCCAGCACAAGTCACCCTCAAATAGTTCATCCCTGGTAAGTTTCAAAAAGAAAAGAAATAAGAAGTGAAAAAAATTCATGTAAGCCATGCTAAATAAACTGAGTTTCAAGGTGGAGAAGTCTCCTATTTAGATAAACAGAGCCCAAATACTGAAATACATTTCCTATAGAGTCTTGAGATGACATCTTTTTATCCTAATGATTCTGCAGGAAGAATGAAGTTATAATTGAGATATAACTCACATACAATAAAATCCACTCTTTAAAAGTACACAATTCAATGACTTTTAGTATATTCACAGAAGTGTACAACCTTACCACAAATAATTCTAGAACATTTTCAACATCTCAAAGACCCCTCTACCCTATAGCAGGCATTCCCCCCATTCCCTTCACTCCCAGACTCTAATAACCGCTGATCTATGTATTTCATCTTTATAGATTTGCCTATTCTAGACATTTTATATAAATGGAATCATATATGTGGTCTTTTGTGTCTGCCTCCTGTCACTTAGTATATTTTTAAAGTTCATCCATGCTTTAGCATGTATCAGCACTTCATTTGTTTTCATACCTGAATATACTCCATTGTATGCATATACCACATTTTATCTACCCATTCATCACTTAATGGCCATTTGAGTTGTCTCCACTTCTTGGCTAATACAAACAATACTCCTGTGAACATTCAAGTATAAATTTGGGGGTAAACATGTTTTCTTTTCTCTTGGGTATATACTTAAGTGGAATGGATTGGAATTTTTGGGTCCTAAAGTAACACTGGGGTGCCTGGGTGGCTCAGTCGATTAAGTATCCGACTTCGGCTTGGGTCATGATCTCACATTTCGTGGGTTCAAGCCCCGCGTCGGGCTCTGTAGTGACAGTTCAGAGCCTGGAGTCTGCTTCAGATTCTGTATCTCTCTCTCTCTCTGCTCCTCTTCTGCTTGCACTCTGTCTCTCTCTCAAAAATAAATAAACGTTAAAAAATTAAAATTAAAAAAAATTAAGTAACACTACCTTTAACTTTTTGAGGAACTGCTGAAACTGTGTTCCAAAGTGGCTACACATCATTTTATATTCCCACCAGCACCATATAAAATTCTAACTCCTCCACATCTCTGCCAATACTTGCTACTGTCCATATTTTTTATTATAGCCAAACCTGATGATTTTGAAAGACTCTTTTTGCTAAAACAAAAGCTATTAGCCTATCTATAATTACCAAAGCTACTTTCCTGAGTGATTGTAAATTTTCTTACTGCTTCAAGTATCAGGGCCCAAGATTGCAAACATTCTACTGTAACAAAGAAATCTGTTCCCTTACACAAAAGATTGAAAGTGGACACATAAAAACACGAGGGGGCGCCTGGGTGGTTCAGTTGGTTAAGTGTCCAACTTTGCCTTGGGTCATGATCTCTTGTTTATGAGTTTGAGCCCCAACGTGTGGCTCTCTGTTGTCAGTGTGGAGCCTGCTTCGTATCCTCTGTCTCTCTCTCTCTCTGCCCCTCCTCCCCTGCTCGCACACATGCTATCTCTCAAAAATAAATGAACATTAAAAACAAGACAAAACCAGGGGCACCTGGGTGGGTCAGTCGGTTGAGTGGTCAGCTTCAGCCCAGATCATGATCTCACAGCCTAGGAGTTCGAGCCCCGCATGGGGCTCTGTGTTGACAGCTCAAGAGCCTGGAGCCTGCTTCGCATTCTGTGTCTCCCTCTCTCTGCCCCTCCCACACTTGCACTGTGTCTCTCTCTATCAAAAATAAATAAACATTAAAAACAAAACAAAACAGGGGCGCCTGGGTGGCTCAGTCAGTTGAGCGGCCGACTTCGGCTCGGGTCATGATCTCGCTGTCCGTGAGTTCGAGCCCCGTGTCGGGCTCTGTGCTGACAGCTCAGAGCCTGGAGCCTGTTTCAGATTCTGTGTCTCCCTCTCTGATCCTCCCCCGTTCATGCTCTGTCTCTCTCTGTCTCAAAAATAAACGTTAAAAACAAAAATTAAAAAAAAACATGAGAAAAATAATCTAAATCCATCATTACTCTTAGCTGGGACTCCTCTCAGTACCATCTGATTTATCTTCAGAAACTACCCCTGACAATTTTACCAAAGTCAGGACACTCAAAAAACCATTACTAAGTTTCCTAACTTGATTCTGATTTTATAAAATCAAAATCTGACTTACAGGTATTGATATAAAAAAACTTGGGGGGCTCCCAGGTGGCTCAGTCAGCATCTGACTTCTGACTTCAGCTCAGGTTATGATCTCAGGGTCATGAGATTGAGCCTCGTGTCGGGCTATGTGCTGAGCATGAAGCCTGCTTAAGACACTCTCCCCCTCTCTCTGCCCCTCCCCTGCTCTCTTAAAAAAAAAAAACAACCAAAAAAACCAAAACTTGGGAGGAATATAACATGCCAATGAGATGTGGGGAAGGGGAGGAGTATGGAGAATTTCTTTTAGAAGAAGGGGATTTTGTTGTAAGTTATATATTATAGAATTTTAAACAAGAGTAAAAAGGACATTACATATTCTATCTCTATATCATATCAAATCTCATAACATGTAATACTTTTTAAGCATAAAAGGACCATTTTTTAGTTCCATAAGAAGCACCTTAGTCTTCTAAAGAGCAGAGTCCATCATTTATTTATAAGCTCTTATTTCATGTAATTCTATGAATTAAATCCCAAGTCCAGCAATCTGAGGTTGCAGCTCTACAGGGGCAGCAGCCCTAAACTTACTGGTCTAAAAAGCTTCCCTATACTACAATAATGAAACTCATTAGCTATAGCACTGAAAATAGTACGCTTCATTTTTCTAGAAATTCATATTTTTATAAATCGTATATTTTTGAAGATTAAAAAAAAGGGTATTATTCTAGTTTGTCCAAATATGTATCATCATCTGCACTTCTGTACTGTGGTTTTAAGAAAAAAAACAGAGGAAAAACCTCCAGTTCACTCATTTTAAAAAATGCTTTATTCTTTCTATCCTCTGATGTGAGATTGCCACGGTCAACTGGGATTGGGGTTTTGCTCTGAGTCTACCTGGTAGACTGGGTGGCTCTACCTGAGCCTGGGTGGCTCAGTCAGTTGAGCGTCTGACTTTGGGTCAGGTCATGATCTCACTGTTTGTGGGCTCCAGCCCCGTGTGGGGCTCTGTGCTGACAGCTGAGAGCCTGGAACCTACTTCCAATACTGTGTCTCCCTCTCTCTCTGTCCCTCCCTCCCTCTCTCTCTCAAAAATAAATAAACATTCAAAAGAAATTTTTTTAATATAAATCATTAAGATTTTCTTTCCTCTAAAAATGTCTCACTAGACCTGAAAGATGAAGCTGGTTTTTTCCCCAAAGAATCTGTCTATACTCATAAGTTGTTCAGCTCTTTTCATTACATGTCATTATCCTCCAATCAAAGACATCTGTGAGTTTTCACATTTCCTCAGTTTAAAAAGGCTGACATTATATACTAAGCATCATCTCTAAATCCAAATTATCACAAAAGACTTTAAGGACAAGAGCTGGCCATGTGCCAGCAGATGTGCTTAGTTTTAAACCTGCAGACATGGGTGGTCGAAAAGGAAAAAAAAGGCTGGGGCACAGGTATGTACAGAGGATTGGTGAAATTCTTAAGAATTTGTCCAAAATTGATGAGCCCATTTTTTAACTGGAATTAGTAATTTAAAGAGTGTGACTTCGTCTGGGTATAAGATAGAAGAGAGTGTTACAGAATGTGACAGCCTGGGGGCACCTGGGTGGCTCAGTTGGTTAAGCGTCCAACTTCTGCTCAAGTCATGATCTCATGGTTTGGGAGTTTGGGCTCTGCTTCGGGCTCTGTGTGGACAGCTCAGAGCCAAGAGCCTGCTTCAGATTCTGTGTCTCCCTCTCTCTCTACCCCTCCCCTGCTCTCTTTCTCTCTCAAATATACATAAACATTTAAAAAAAAATTTTTTTTAAGAGAATGTGACAACCTGGAAAATATATATCCCAACTAAAGACATTTAAAATCAAAATTTTAACAATGTTGTGAAGGCCTGTTTGCAATCCCTGCTTCACTCTCATCTATACGCTGGCCAGTACATACTCTGAACAGAAGCACTGGCTCATTTCTTACTTGATCAGAAACTATCCTGCTTCATTAAAGGAGCCAGGCAGAGGCACAGTGGTCCTGAAGGACTGTTCTGTCTGTAGCTTCACTTGGGTCTTGGGCTTCCCCTCTATTTTCTCTCACAGCTATAACTCAACTAGGTATTTTCTGGCTTACCAAGATTTCCACTGCATTTCAGGTTCTGATGTTTAAAAACAAAACAACAACAAAAACCCTTTACAAACCTTATGTTTCCTCTTGCCTTTGTTGGAAACTTTTTCTGAGGCTTGTTTCTGAGCCTCTCTTGTGTGCTTTTCTGGCACATTTTTCTTTTCCCCCTTGGGTGGCTCTGTTTCTTTGTAAGGCTTTCCTGGTATTCTGGTCAAGAGATTCAGGTCAATCTTCACAATAAGTGGATACCTGTCATCAGGCTCACTGAGGGGTGAAAGAAGTTCCTTCTCTTCCATAGGAGAGAACATTCGTTGCCGAAAAAAGCTATCTTCTTCCTCCACTGAGGAGGGTTTCACGGGAGTCCTGTTACTCTCAGGGTACTTAGGAGTTTGTGAGGAAGGAGGAAGGCTCTCGCTTTCATCCGAATCTGAGGATGAGGTATCTGTTTCTATGATTTCCCTTGATTTCTGGGAAGATTTACTCGTTGACTTGTATTTCTTTTTTTCTGCAGAAGGTCGAGGGGAAGATTTGGACTCCTTTTTTATATTGGGTTTCCTTGAGCCTTTGGTGGCTGCTTTGTGTCTGCTGGAAGGCATGCTGGTAGCCATGTCTACAGGGGTTTCACTTTCTATCTTCAGGCCTCCCCGGGGCTCTTCAGCAGCTGCCTTCTCAGCCTTTTTGGGTTGTTTTTTGCCTACAGTTCTCCTCTGTGTTGTACTGTCACTCTGTGCAGGGGACTTCTGCCTCCCGCGCCCACTTTCTGATCCCTTTTGGACAGTCTTGGAGTCTCGTCCAGGAGTAGCAGAACTTGTTTCTTTAGGCCCCCCTGGATCAGTGTAGCTATTCCCGGTGCCCTGTTCTCGGCCTTCCTTTTTATAGCCTTGAGATGAGGGGATGTTACTGTCCACAGAAGAAGCTGGTGACACTTTATGTGGGTTCACTTTATTCAACCAATTATCAAGTTGCCATTTGTTTGTTGGTGGTGGTTCAGGCTGAAAAACAGAAACAAAAATACAATGTCTAAGAGCACAGAGCCATCTGTTTTTCATACTTTTGATTGAACTAAAGCAAAGGGCTGAATATTGACTATCAGAGCTCTCATCACTTGAATGAGGAGATAAGCTTAATGTTACAAATGGCCTTTAAACATTAAAGATTCCTGTCAGGAACCCAACTTCAAAGATAAAATTCCTAATCTAGACCAAACATTTATTCAAGTAACAAGGACACTGAAGTATCGAAGGTTCCTCCAAGATACACAGTTCAATTTCTTAACCTTCTTTCCTTCACTTTTTATATCTGACTCTTTTTTTTTTTTTTTTTTTGAAAGACAGAGGGCACAAGTGAGCAAGGGGCTGAAAGAGAGAGGGGGTGGGGGGGGGAGGGAGAGGTTGGGCTCACTCGAAGTAGGGCTGGAGCTCACCTGATACAGGACTTGAACTGAGAAACCCTGAGATCATAACGTGATCTACAGTCAAATCCTTAATGACTGAGCCACCCAGTGGCCAAATCTAGCCACCTAGATTTGAATCAAGTCTTAAATGGCCATCAACAGAGGCCATGAGAGACCCATGGAAGGTGGTACCCCTGTCTCCCTCTCACCTCAGGAGATGCACTCTGGGATGGCTCGTTTGCCTCACTGTCACTGGAACTACTTTCACTCTCAGAGTCAGATCCAGAGCTGCTTTCAGATCCACTGTGGCTGCTAGAATCATCCCTGGAGTTATCTGCTCCTTCACTATTATGGTGTGAAGGTTCAGAGTTACTAAAAGAAAGAAAACATATAAATGAGAAAGTTGGGTTTTTTTTCCACAATGACAACAGGAAAACATCCAAATCTGAAAACCAACTTTATAAAATGTTTACTGTTATACTGTTACAATTCTATGAATCCAGAACTTTATTTATAAATGAGATAAATACTTCATAAAAAGTTTCTAATATCCTGCTCAGCCACTGGTACTTACCTTTTAGAAACGGTTTTCTTGAGGTATGATTTACATACCACAGAATTCATTCATGTTAAGTTTACAATCTGATGATATTTAGTTAATTTACACGACTGTACAATCACCACCACAGTAATATTTACTGTGTAAGGTCAATTTTTTTTTTAATGTTTATTTATTTTTGAGAGAGACAGAGAGGGAGAGCGTGAGCAGGGGAGGGACAGAGAGAGAGGGAGACACAGAATCTGAAGCAGGCTCCAGGCTCTGAGCTGTCAGCACAGAGCTGGACACGGGGTTCCAACTCATGAACTGTGAGCTGAGCTCATGACCTGAGCCGAAGTCAGTCGCTTACCTGACTGAGCCACCCAGGTGCCCATGTAAGGTCAATTATTATAACACTACAATTCTATCAGGTAATTCCCACCTCTACAAATAAAACAAAATAAAAGGATGCATACCTTCCTGGTGTACTCCTTGGCATTGTCTTATCACAATCCTAAAAGTAAAACGAGAGGAAATCTGTGAATGAATAAACAACACTCTATCTGCTTAATGAGAACAATGTTTGAACTCTTAACAGGAACACTAGCAGTTCTAATGTATGCATCAATGTTTACCTAACATTTAGGACATAATGTTTTTACCTAAAGAATAACTAATTACCAGGCTAAGATGAAAAGATCTCTTAATAGTTCTTGTCAACAATCTTATGCTTCATGAGTAAGTTCTGATCCACCATAACTATTAAAGAAGAGCCAATTAAAAAAAATGGAGATTTAAAGACAGAGCAGAAAAACAACATTACACTGTCAGAAAGCAGTAAGGAACTTCTTTTAAATAAATGGCTCATAAATATATCATTCAACCATAATTCTTATAAAATACAATGAAAACACACAGTGTATGAAACTGGCAAACTCATAAAGCAGTAGACATACCTGCTCCCCATCGCTGTCTTCACTGCTGCTTAGTTTTAAGTCATCTTTTAACATACTAAAGGGAAAATGCAGAAAGAATTAGTATTTTTGTAACAGTTTATCATGGCACACCAGAGTATTAAATATTTACTAATCATTCTAGAAATAATCACTGTGGTAGCCAAAGATTTAATTAAAAAACAAAGAAAAGAACCAGTAAATTTTACTCTGTTTTGGTTCACATCCAGAGTACAAAGTGAGAAAAGTAGGAATTTAACATTTTCACAAGCTCTCACTTTTCCATAAGTAAAATGCATATCCTTCTTTTCTAATTAAATAAACCACATCCTACAACTTCTCTACTTGTTTTCTCTATTTTTCTCTAATTACATACACACACACTCATTCATATTAAATCAAATTACCATACTCATACTCAACAGTCCACTAGAGAGATATAACTCCTAAAAAGAAGGAAGATAAAATGAAAATATCACCAATTCTCTTTCACTGTCCCTCATGTATCACAAAGAGATTCACACAACTAGGTAACTGTGAAAACCAGAACACTAAGTCAAAGTGCTAGTTCATAAATGTCTTGCTATGAAAGAAGAATGCCCTCTGGAAAAGTAACAATTTTGGATAAAAACCTTACCTATAAAATAGAAATGACAGTGTAAGAATTAAAAACAAATTCCAGGTTCCAAACCCTCCTTCATCAAAATTCAAATCAATTAAAAAAACATGAACTGACAATGTCTGAAATTCACTTTTCAAAGTAAAATTACAAATTTAAAATTGCCTAGAGGCTCCTGGGTGGCTCAGTTAACCATCCGACTTTGGTTCAGGTCGTGATCTAGCATTTGTGGGTTCGAGCCCTGCGGTAGGCTCTGTGCTAACAGCTCAGAGCCTGGAGCCTGCTTTGGATTCTGTGTGTGTCTCTCTCTCACCCTCCCCCGCCTGCACTCTGTTTCTCTCTCTCTCTCTCTCTCTCTCTCTCTCTCAAAAATAAACATTAAATTTTTTTTTTCCTTAAGGCCAAAAAATCATAATTAAAATTAAAAATCTGAGTAATGACCCACAAAACACTCCTTGCCTTTTTACAGAAGAGCAAAAATTAATACAAAGCTTAGGGAAAACTACGACTAGAAAAATGTTTAATATCTCATTACCAGCAGTTCCATTACCTTTCTTCTTAAAATTTCATGACACTCTCCAATCAGTGGGAAGGAAATCTTCTTTCACTTCAGTAACTATTAATACTTTCCCCTCAAAAACTTCACCTGAGTTTCTAAATCTGACCCCAAATTCAGATTATCATATAAGAGATCACCTTGAAACAAAGTACCCAGATAATTACAGAATTATGAAAAATGTTTTAAGGCTGGCCTGGTTAAGCGGGACAGAAAAAAAGAGTTTTCTTTTGGACAAGGGCTTGGTGCATGTCTATGAATGACATCCTATAAGGAAATGTACTTGCTCTGAATTCTCTCAGCCCTTATGATTTAATAATGGCAGCTCAATGAACCTGCTCACACATGTGGATGTGTCAAAGCTTTTACCAGACTGCTCAAGGTCCTGCATGCTTTCGCTCCCTCAGCAACAAGTAATACACACATATATGGTAGGCCCTTATCAATTCTTTGCATATGAATAAGTATGATAAATAAGAATATTATTTGAATTCTTTAACAGTGAGGGGGACTTGTTGCATTTCACATAAGTTATTCTCACTCAATTCTTCCTCTGTTCAGCTGAAGAGGCTGAGGTTATCAAGACTGTATGTTGTAGTTTAGAAAGCTAGCACTGTGACCACCATTTCTTTAGAATTTTGTTTTAACCATGGAGTTAACTTGTGGTCTCAGGAATTCAGGAGTTCACTTTTGAAGCTGGAATTTATTATCACCCAATATACTAGCCTGATTACTTTTTGATATATATTCCTGGTTCTACTAAAGAAGTAGGAAAACAAATATAGTACAAACTGTGCTGATTTAATATTCTACATTTAGCAGTTAAATGGAGGGCTTACGAAGAAGAATCCTGTATTTTTTGGTCTTCTTTATTAAAAACTATCAACCTACACACAAACACAAATACACACATCTCTAAGAGATGAGAAAAATCTGTAATCTCAGAGGAGGGGAAGGCAAACTATGGCCCACAAGTCAAATAAAGACTACTACTTGTTTTGTAAAAAAGTTTTATTGGAACACAACGATACCCAGAGTCTATATTTGCTTTCATGCTACAATGGCAGAGCTGGTTAGCTGGGACAAAAGCCATCTAGCCCCTAAATCCTAAAATAATTCACTATCTGGCCCTTTACATAAACATTTGCATACCCCTTCTTTAAAAGATTAAGGACACATTTCTAAGTGTTCTGGTATGCAGACACTACACATAGACTTTTACCAAAACGGATAAACTTATTAAGCAATAAACTTACGATTTAGACTGGTGTCCATTTGAAGTTTTAGAAGAAGGATTGTATCTTTCTAGAACAAAGAGAATGCAGAAATTAGCAACTACAGTGTGGCTATTTAGATTGTAAAATATGTATCAGTATACCCTCAAAGAAATGGAAATCAAAACATTTAGAATTCTTCCTCCACCAAACTGGCAACACTTTAGAGTCCAATAATACAAGATACTGGTGGAAACAGGTAAGCTCCAATGCTGCTTGTCCAACTATAAACCCATACAATCTTTTTGGCAGGCAATCTGGCAATATTATCTTTACTGATACTGTAAATGCACATATCCACTTTCGTAGCAATTATAATGAAAAAAATTTTTCCTTACAGGTATATCTGGAAAAATACATAAACACACACTGAAACACAGATGTTTATCATAATATGTTTTGTAACAGCAAAAACTGGAAACAAACATCTATCGAGAGGAGAATAGTTAAATAAATGGTATTATCATAAAATACACAATTTTAATGTTAAAAAGAATGAGCTAATGTTAAAAGAATGAGCAAGAATTTATACTGATATAGACACAGCTCTAAAATAAATTAAGTGAAAAATATAGGTAATAAAGAGTATGTGCAACTTATGATCTCATGTGCCAATACTGAGTTATAGGGGGAGGAGGAGGACAGAACTAAGGAGGAGACATTCTGAAAAGTTGTTAAGAGAGAAAATGTAAACTTTCTGGCCTAGGGCTATTTTCTTTTTTTTCTTTTTTTTTTTAATTTTTTATCTGAAACAGGCTCCAGGCTCTGAGCGGTCAGCACAGAGCCCGACGCGGGGCTCAAACTCACGGAGTGTGAGATCGTGACCTGAGCCGAAGTCGGCCGCTTAACCGACTGAGCCACCCAAGCGCCCCTAGGGATATTTTCTTCATATCTTTAAATAGTGATAAAGATTCTTATAACTATAGTTTAAGGTAAAACCAAGAAGTGGATATACAAATAAAGTTTGCTAACGTTAAAAAGGAATATTCTCCATAGTTTCGTCTCTTTGCTTTAAGACCTCTAAAGACAACAAACTAAGCATCAAAAAGTTCCACATTTTTACATCCCAAAACTGATTACCAATGTAAATCTACCTTATTAAAGAAGTTACTATTCTTGGCAAAAACCTTTTATTTTATTATAGAGCTATATGAGGAAGCCCAGACATTCATAAGGTTCCTGGCCTTACCACTCATTAATTCACGTAACCATCATCTCTTGGGATCACATTTAAATTCCCTAAGGCTATCATCCCCTCAAGTTCTTCTCAGAAACAAAAAGATAGGAGGTAGAGGGGGATTCTGTAACACACAGAAGATGTTTGTCCCAGACCTAAAGACCCGGGAAGGATAAATACAGACGTAGGCAGAAAAGAACTACAATAAGTGACAATGACCCTTTCCCTTGCATATAGTGTAACTCTCACAGAACCAACTATCTTCATGAAAGATAGAGAAAGAGAGAGGAATGCTCTTGGGTTTATGAGGTGTCCATCAAACTGAATTCATGAACTTTGAACTTATTACTTCAAGAAATACTTAGTCAATTTGATCTCCAAGGATCTATAATTCTTCATTTTAAAAAATGTTGACTTATTTTGGGGGGAGGAACAGAGAGAGGGGGGAGAGAGAGAATCCTAAGCAGGATCCATGCTGTCAGCACACAACCTAAAGTGGGGTTCGATCCCACGAACCGTGAGATCATGACCTGAGCTGAAATCAAGAACCGGGTGCTCAACGACTGAGCCACCCAGGCGCCTCTATAATTTTTCATTTTTTAAGTATACCAAGATTCAGTTTAATTCATTACAAACTATCAGATAATAAAAACTGGGATAAGACACGTGAAGGAATTATAAAACCAATATATGATGTGACCATGAGAAATGAATGCTCAATTAACAGCTTAACATGAAAACCAAGAAGAAAAGAAATACTCACTTTGTTCTCCAGGGCCAAAATTGGACTGCTGAGATTCCTAAGGGACACAAAATTATATAGTGATATTAAGAGAAGGGTTCATTAGTAAAAAATGCTTTAAACTAAACTATTTAATTCCAGCTAATTCAATGAAAGATCCTGTTGAGTTCCTAAGAATGCATAGAAGAAAAAACACAAAGAATTTAATGATCCCACCTGATCAGCCTCAGCAATTGTTCTGGTCAGTAATGAACTCTCCCAGAGCTGAACACAAAAAACATCAAGCTACCTAACAGTCTACCTTTATTATTCATTTCTTTTCAGCAGCATCCATGGTGCTCGTATCATAATTTAGAGCTTCGGGAAAGCAAATTATTTCCATTTAAGATTCTTGGTCTTAAAATGTTTAATTAAAAAAAAAGTAATACTAAAAACCTACACTAGAGTAAAAACAGCTGTACAACCTATATAGAGTCAAAAGATACCACTTTTATGAACTAAAAACCTCACACGGTCATTCACATGTCACTATATTGCCTTCCTTTTCCCACTCCCAATATTTTACACACAATTAACAACTTGAGGAAAAGACTGTCATATACCACTTTGTAAGCCATACACTAGTACAATGTCTGGCACTCAGGAAGCACCAGTAAAAAGAAAGCCAAAATCTCACTGTCAGTGAAAGAAACATGCCTTTCCAAACTCAACTTTCATAATCAGAAAACCTTTTTCACACATGGAAATTGTGCATTTTTCTAGGTTAAGTCTTTGGAACACAACATAGTATTAAAATTACACAAACATCCCTAAAAGCCCACTTAAAAATGAGCACAATCTTGCTTTAATGACAGAATTACCTGTGAAAGAGAAATCCACATAGTATGAATGCTAAAATACAGTTTTGTTGTTAAAAATAATACTGTAAACCTACACCTATGGTCAAATGATTTTCAACAAGTATTCCAAGACCATCTATAAGGGAAATGACAGTCTTTTCAGCAAATGGTGTTAGGACAACGGACTAGCCATAAGCAAAAAAATGAAGTTGGATGCTTACCTCAGCCAATATAAAAAAAAAATAACTCAAAATGGATCAAAGAACTAAATGTAAGAGCTCAAACTACAAAACTCTTAGAAAACTTAGAGCCAAATCTTAATGACCTTGGATTTGGCAAAGAACTCTTACATATGACACCAAAAACATCAAAAACACAAAAGAAACAAACAGAGAAATTGGATTTCAGCAAAATTTAAAACTTTTGTACTTCAAAGAACAACTCTATCAAGAAAATAAAAAAACAACCCACAGAATGGGAGAAAATATGTGCAATTATGTATCTGATAAGAGACTGCTATCTACAATATATAAAGAGCTCTTACAATTCAATGATAAAAAGACAGCCCAATGAAAAAAATGTGCAAAGCATCTGAACAGACAATTCTACAAGGAAGATATAAAAATGGTTAATAAGCACATACAAATGGTCAATAAACACATGAAAACATGTGTGACATCGTTTGTCATGGGGAAAATGCAAATCAAACACACAATGAGGTAATACTTCACATCTACTAGAATGACTAGGATCAAAAACAGATAACAGCAAGTATCGACAAGGATGCAGAGAAAAATGAAAGCCTAGTAGGAATGTAAACTGGCTCAGCTAGCTTTGGAAAACATTCTGGAAGTTCCTTAAATGATGAAGCATACAGTTGCCATTTGACCTTGCAATTCTACTCCTAGGTATATAACCAAGTGAAAAGAAACATTATGTCCCCCCAGAAACTTCTACACAAATGTTTACAGCACCATTATTCACAAAAGCCCAAAGCTTAAAACAACTCAAATGTTCATCAGCTGATGAGTTTATAAGTAAAATGTGATATATAACCATACAATGGAATATTTGGCCACAAATAGAAATGAAGTACTGATATATTCTATAACTTGGAAGAACCTTGAAAACATTATCCTAAGTTAAAGAATCTTGCAAAAGACCACATATGGTATGATTCCATTTACATGAAATGTTCAGAAAAAAGTAAATCTATAGAGACAGAGAGTAGATGAGTGGTTTCATAGGGCTGAGAAGGAGACAGAGGGAAGTGGTAATAGATAAACAGGGTGTTTCTTTTTGAGATGATCAAAATGCTCTAAAATTCACCGTTGTGATGGCTGCATAAGTCTGTAAATATATTCAAAACCATTTAACTGTACACTTTAAATGGGAGAAAAGCATGGCATGTGGATATTTCAATAAAGCTACTAAAAAACCTGCCAATAGAGCAGTGACCAAGGTCACCCCTGTGAATTATGTTGCAGATACAAATAATCTTCCACCCCTTTCAATTGCCAATTATCTTATACTCATTTACCTGGTAAAGAGCCTAAATGTTAATAGCCCAAACTTTCAAGTAATCTCTCACTCCTTTCCCTAACACCTCTGACAATAGTCAGTCTACTGATTGTCAAAGTCTAGTGGATTCTGTCCCCATAACATCTACTAAATGCACACCATCTCATCTTCATCTACGCTGCAAAGACTTCAGGTCCTCACATTTTTTCATCTACAAAGGCCATTTAATGGAACTTTCTAGCTCTAATCTTTCTCCTTCACTCAACTATAGTCTCCAGTCAACCTTTCTGAAGCCCAAACCCTAGTATGAGTCATCGCTACTTTTTTTCGTAGGGCCTTCAATGGCTCTTTGTTTTTCCTAGGGATTAAACTCAAACTCTTTGACACACACGATATCCATTCATATGTCTAAGTACTGGGAAACAAAGTGAAGAGGAAAAAAACACAAAGGCCTTCTACTCATGGAGCTTAACACTCTTCTGAAAAATGTTAATGACTATCTCTGCAACTATTCATGTAAATAAAGGTAAAATGGCAATTGTAAGAAATGCAATGAAAGGTAAATAACATTCACAGTATTATTTAAGAGCTTATAATTGTGTGTGTGTGTGTGTGTGTGGGAGAGAGAGAGCATGTGAATGAATGTGAGTGAGAAAGGGAGAGAGAGAGACACACACACACAGATCTAGCCAGGAAAATGAACAAAGGCTTCTCTGAGCAAGTACCGTTCAGGTTGGGATGTGAAGTGTAGGTAGGAAGTAAAATGGGAAAGGTAAGTGTACAGGGTAGAGAGAACAGCACGTAAAGGCCAGAAAAGATAGGGAGCACTGGTAGTGTAAAGGACTTAAAGGCAGTCCACAAGAGGAAAAAGTACAGAAGGGTAGTGAGAAATGAGACTCAAGAGAAATGAGACTCAAGACATGAAAACCTATATCATATAGCACGCAGGCTTTATAGATTATATTAAAGAACATTTAATACACATAAACCACATCTGTTTAGTAAAATCTGAGGGGTGCCTGGGTGGCTCAGTCAGTTGAGCATCCGACTTCAGCTCAGGTCATGATCTCACGGTTTGTGAATTTGAGCCCCGTGTCAGTCTCTGTGCTGACAGTTAGAGCCTGGAGCCTGCTTTGGATTCTGTGTCTCATTCGCTCTCTGCCCCTCCCCGACTTGTGTCCTGTCTCTCGAAAATAAATAAATGTAAAAAAAAAAAAAAATTTTTTTTTTTTTTAAACTGGGGACTTGAAGGAGGGAGGGATGCAGCCTGAGGAAGGAGGCTGGGGGAAGGGGTATAACTCATTTTTATGTGAGGTAACTTATGTCATGAAACAACCAGTGAATTTTTTTGTTAGTGCAAAAAATACAAGCTTCTGTGTTAGTGTAAAAGATTTGGGAGTACTTTATGCCCCATTAAAAAAGGAGGAGGGAGGGAGATAAATTATTTACATTATACTTTAGGATTTATACTGTCTCTGTTATATCTTTCTTTGATGCACAAAAAAGTAGCTCTTCAAGTAATTTAATAACTGGAAAAGAATCTAACAAAAAGACGACTAGAATCACTGGCACTTCCACCCATCTCTATAAAGCTAACTTTGTACACTGAATGATTTATTCTAGTATTTATTTCTTGAATCTTGAGCTTTGCTTTCTAAGCCTGCCTCAACAGTGCTTCCTGACAAAGAAGTGCCTTTTAGTAGATTTGCTCTTTATTGGATTTCAGCCATTTTTAACTAGAGCAGAAAGACCAAGGTTTTGGACAAAGATATAGAACACTGGGAGAAACCTCAAAATAGGTTTATAATACAATTTTACTAAACCTGGATGTTTAAGGACTGAATTGAATTATTACACAACTCAAAATACCAGTGAGTATGAACCATGATGCTTTCATAGTTTCATTAGCAACTATCTCAAGGTATGTTATACACTCAAAAGCAAGATTAATGATATAAATGCATATTCAAACTACTGTTGATAATCCGATGTTTCCTTCTTTTCTGTTTATGGCATCTTTGTTTCTACTTTGTACAGCGGCAGATAAAGAGTTCATACCAGAAGAAAATAATCTCAGCTCTGTCATGTTCTTGTTTGCTTAGAAATGCATCTCACTGTTATTTTCACTCAGCACTTTCACTGCAGGTATATCTTTTAAGCCACTTGTGCATTAGTGAAGATTAGATGAATTAAAACCAGTTAATATACCGTGTAAATCACCTTAACTATGCACATTTAAAACTGTAATATACTAGAGCCAGTAAGAGCAAATAAAGGAGAACAAGTCTATCAACTTTTCCATAATGAGAAAACCTAAACTTCTCTCGGAATACCTCAGAAATAAAATGTGACCAACTGCCACTGAGATCAAGAGAAGCAATCTACTTTGATTTTGTTTTTGCAGACTTAAAAATAGAGAAATTTAGGACTAAAAACAACTATAAAATTTTCATCCCCTTCTCCCAGTCCCCAATCTCCAATATACACACAATGTTGGAGGAAATGCTTTTCACTCTGAAGACCACTGACTTACCACAGTGGCAAGAATAAAGATGGAGAAAAATGAATGGAACTAAAATACATTAAAGGAGGCAAAATCATTAGGACTTGGTGATAGTTTAGAGTGTGTGACAGGGAAGGAAGTGCCAAGCATAATTCTAACAAGGCTTTCCTAGCTTCACTAAGACAGGAAACAGGA